GGGGGGAGAGCCCAGGGCTGGGGCGGCAGGAGGTGTGTGGGGGGCAATGGTGGGGAGGAATGAGGGAGCCCAGAGCTGGGGCGGCAGGGGGGGGGGGTGGGGGGGAGAGCCCAGGGCTGGGGCAGCAGGAGGTGTGTGTGTGTGTGGGGGCAATGGTGGGGAGGAATGAGGGAGCCCAGAGCTGGGGCGGCAGGGGGGTGTGGGTGGGGGGGGAGAGCCCAGGGCTGGGGCAGCAGGGGGGATGCGGCGAGGAGCCCAGAGCTGGGACGGGGGGGGGCAGCCAACATTTTTTTTGCTTGGGGCGGCAAAAAACCGCCCAGCACTGCTGCCACAGAGCAGAATCGGGTCGCAAGGGCTTCCCCCTCCCCACCCTCCTGGTGGCTGGGGCTCCAGGCTTCCGCCGCAGGTGGCGGATTTTTTCCAGGGCCCCCCCATTTGGCCGGGGTCCCTGGGCACAGGCCCTGTGGGCCTTGTAGCTAATACGCCACTGCCCACACTAACTGCACAGCGGGGCTGGGCCCAGCTTCCCGCTCTGGCCCTTTGACTCTTATTGCTCACAGATTTGGAGGAGCCTGCCACAGTGTCACTTGATGTCTGGGTCAGTGTGGAGGCCCTGCCCTGCTGCACCCCCCTTTCTGGCCCTGTCCCCCCTCTCCTGGGACACCCCTTCTCTGCCCCAATACCTTCAGGATCCCCTCCTTCCCACAGGACCCCCCTTCCCTGCCCCACTCATTCAGGATCCCTCCCTCCTACAGGACACCCCATCTCCCCCACCCCCATTCCCTCACATCCTCCCGCCACCAGGACCTGCCTTCTCCCCTCCAACATCCTAAGGATCCCCCTTTCCCCAAGATCCTCCTTTCCCCCCCAGTCACCTCAGGATCCCTCTTCTCTGGCACCCCCTTCTCCCACCTCAGTTACCTCAGGAGCCCCCCTTGCTCCAGGACCCCCACTTTACCTCAATCATCTCAGGATCCCCCTCCTCTGTGACCCCTTTCCCCCCCGATCACCTCAAGATTCTCCCCTCCAAATAGGTCCCATACAGGCAGGGCCCCTACTCCGTATGGTGTCTCACCCAATCCCTCCCTGCCTTTTTCCTGGCCCTGGTGCTGCCAGACACAGGGCTTTGCCTGCCCGAGTTGGGCATGCCCACTGGTGGTGGGGTGGCTTAGAAAATGACAAAAGAGAGATTGAGGACGGGGAGTGGCTGAGTCCCCTCCAACCCTAGCCACATACTCCCTGTGTTCTCTCTTGAGTGGTTTTTATTTCTGTGGGTAGAATCCAGAGATGACAGCACTGTAATGAAGCCCATCCCTTGCCTTGCAGCTAAACCTCTGTATGAGAACTTGTAATGTGTACCATCAAAACAGTCCTTCCTCTGGCCACGTTTATGCCTCATCTAATTTATGGATGGGCCATCTCCAGGGTGTTTAAACTCATTGTTCATTCAGTCTTTGTCCGCTCTGACCGGACTGCCACAAAAATGCCAACTCTGCTGGCAGTTTGGGGGAGGTGAACAGCTGTTTGCTAAGAACTAGACTGAGCCCACCAACTCATATATGTCACTGAATAGCCATTGGGACTTTTGGTCACTACTAACTGTGGCCCTCATTGCTATCATTATGTGTAATGCCACAAATAAGCACTACTTTTACTAGACAAATACAAATACAGAAGTGAAAGCCTGTCCCAATTGAAGTCAGTGGCAAAAGTCCCATTGATTTCCAGGATTTCACCCAGGGTCTGTGATCTGAAGAATTCACATCTTGCAAATCTTTACTCATGTGTCTAGTTCTCATTCTAGTAAGCCCACTGAAGTTCATGGCAGAATTTGGTTTCTCTGAGACTGCTAGGTTGAGTAAGAGTTTGCAGGATAGGGGCCTGATGAAGACATAACTTGACAAGTGGTGATTACAAACACTGGAAAAGCAATGTTGGAGGACAATATTTACAAAAATATGGGTATGTCTTGTGGATGATGCATGTGTCAGAGACATCTGATATTAGTGGGTTTTGTTCCTTTCATAGATAACAATATAGAAGGTGGATTTAGCCATCCAGAGAGATGCATTTTTTTTCTGGGCTTCAGGGCTGGTGATAGAACTGAACAACCACAGCCAAGACTGCTTATTGTCATATAAGGCCAAGATCCATGGGAATAAGTGAGCCATAGATCCCAGCCTTTCCCCATTGCTAACACCTCCCATATCAATGGCAGCCTAGTGTTAATCCCTGTTGCGTGAACGTTGGCTGGTCCCATTGATACCCTCTCTGTGATCTGTTCAAAGAGAGGTACAACTTTGTAAACAGGACCGAAGTAACTTATGATAACATTTGCATCACAAGTTCCAGTGCGCTGAAAAGGGGCGTGTTATGCAGAGCAGCTAGTCCTCTGTTCTGACTCCAACTCCTCTTCTGGGTCAATCCCTTAGTCACGTAGAAATGAACTCCCATGTAGCAGTCATATAGCAGAGTGAGGCAGCTGCACGGTAGTCATTTTTTCTGTACATGCAGCATAATATCCTACAATAAAATGGACCAGATGTGAGCTAGTCCATCCCCATCCTCATGGGACATCCAGTCCTCCTTTCTTGAACATAGTGATAGACTTGTTGGGACCAATTCTCTGCTGGCAATACATTATTGCAGTGAGTGGAGTTATGCCAGCAGAGAATTTGACACACAGAATCAGACTTTTAAGTAGCTTATAGGGTTAGTTTGTCTAGGAGTTTATTATAGGGTTATTAGTGCAGCACAAAGCTAATATATGGTGAAAATGTGTAGTCTGTTAAAAATGTTAAGAGCACATATTAGCAAAATATACAGTGAAACTGCTTTAAATATGAGTTAAGGAAAAGTCACACCAATATAATCTAGTTTCTTTCCTTTAAGGACTCCTAACTGTTTTAGGACTGCATTCCAATTTTAACAAAGAGATTCATTTTCAATATCCACCAGAACTAATTACACTACATTCAGAATTACTTTTTTGAGCTATGGAAAATCAGTCAATAAAATGATTTAGTTCCACCCTGCTTAGTGACCAACATGCAGCCTTAACTTCCACCCTAAATATAATGTAATGCAAATTTCAGTTCTGTAATTGCTACATAATTATTACTACCAAATTTAGAACACTCACCAATGATACATATCACCCATTCACATAAATTTTCCCAAACACTACAGAAAAACATACAGCACACTCACCATTTACAGTCTAGTCCTGAACCAGTCAATGGAAAGATTCCAATTGACTTCAGTGAGCTGTGGATCAGGCCTTCTGATACTGCACCTCACTTGCTTACACACAATGATACAAAATCACAGGCAATGTAATTTATTAAACCTACATACAATGTAATTCATGAAACCTGTATTACTTCTCAAAACACACATATATGTTTATATAGTCAGCACATAACACATTGTTTGTTCAGGATGACGGTGGAGAGATGTTCACTGTGGGACTGGAAGGTAACTGGGTGAGGTTGAGAAGGGAAATTGATGACTGAAATTTTGATGAGATATGACTTTTCATTTGCATTCGTGGGTCATAGAGTCTAGTATCTTTAACTCAAAGGTCATTAATTTTTCTGTGTGAGACAGTATGAATATAGTCATTAATATTACACTTTTCTCACTGAATAATTGCAAATAAAACCAACATGCATTGCCTTTTGCAAATGTTCTAGCACAAAATGTTACTGTTTGATGCAAAACATGTGCACATGTATAATTTAACTCAGAGTATGCAACTGTCCTTTGCAAAAGTTAACACTGGTATTAAAAGGTATTAGGTCATTTTTGAACAACTGGCTAGGGAAAAAAAATCATCTTGTTCTACACCCCTGGTATTTCTTAAATGTCATTCCATTTAAGATTCAAGAATGTCTGTTTATTTGAGAATGAAATCATGGGGGTAGCGTTGAAAGTGAAATATAATTTTTTTCAAACTTTTCTTTCTCTTGAAAAAAAGTTTTATTACATCTATATTGTGACATATTATCACACATGTATATTGGGCTGCCTTGCCTTCTGTTCTTAATCTAGTGCAGGGATCAGCAACCTTTGGCCCGCGGCCCGCTAGGGTAAGCACCTTGGCGGGCTGGGCCAGTTTGTTTACCTGCCGCGTCCGCAGGTTTGGCCGATCACGGCACCCACTGGCCGCGGTTTGCCGCTCCAGGCCAATGGGGGTGGTGGGAAGCGGCGGCCAGCACTTCCCTCAGTCCGCGCCGCTTCCCACAGCCCCCATTGGCCTGGGATGGCAAACCCAGTGGGAGCCGCGATCGGCTGAACCTGCGGACACAGCAGGTAAACAAACTGGCCTGGCTCACCAGGGTGCTTACCCTGGCAAGCCGCGTGCCAAAGGTTGCCGAGCCCTGATCTAGTGTATACATATTAATGTTCTATAACAATGATCCAAGCCTACACACACACTGTACTCAGATGAGTAAATCCAATTATTTCAGTGGAGTTACACACTTGAGTAAAACTACTTTTGTGTATAAGTGTTGCAGGATCAAATCCTAAACCATTTTAAGGCAAGGGAGACTAAGGGCTAGATCTTCAACTGGTGTAAATCAGCATGGCTCCACTGGTTTCAATGGAACTACCTTGATTTACATCAGCTAAGGATCTGGCTATAGGCCATTGAGATGGCAGAGATTCCACGGACACGAAGTTACCACCAGATTCTACCGTTCTTGATCTTGTTAAGTAGCATCTTCATCCACCAGTAGTGCTATTGAAATCAATGGGACTAAATGTGGAGTAAGGTGCCACTCAACAAAAGTAAAGGGTAACTCTGAAAGTATAACAGTAATTCTCATTAAGGTATAATTTTTTATACAAATGGATTTTGTTTACCTGTAGAGGGCTGTAATTTTTGAAGGATGAAATCCACAAGCAGACTCCTCAAACACATCACAAAACCTTTATTAGTGAGTTTATTGGTGACACAGATTACAGAAACCAAATGGAATTAAATAACATTTAACTTGAAATTGACCACAGACTCAAGAAATACAGGTCACAGTTGGCAAGGCAAACTTCTCAATACACTGGGTTGCTTAGGTTATTATTACACTGTGAAGGAGGAATTTCCCTTATTTGATTCTAAGTAATTCAGGATATTATTATTTTGTGTCTTTCAGACAATTCCTTTGGCAATAATTTCAATTTGTTTAGCTTTTATTATATAAAAATATAACGAATTTTCCTTATATACAAACATTACATTACACAATATACAGGTTAAAAACACTACAAAAATAGCAGGCCATACGTGAACTAAAAGCAAAAGAACAGGGTAGGGGAAAAATTAAATACTGCACATTTCATAAAAATTACATTAACTACATACAGTTTTTGTTTGCAAATACCAAACAGTATCAATGTGATTGGAAATCTTTCCCAACAACTTCATTTTTAAGGCACGTCTTGCATATTTATATGTACAACACTGAATCTGGTCAATAACTTAAGGGCTCTTGAGAGTGACCTAGAAGTGTTTGTGTATGTGTGTGCTTGGATGGGGAGCGTGCAGCATTAAACCTTCTCGCTAGTGTCAGTCTGGGGGGCTAGGTATCTAGTCGAGGGGGCTTGGTATAGGGGCACCCCCATCTCCTGAAGTTCTGGAAGCCTCCCAGAGCGAGGAGGGGACAGCAATGTGATTGTCCTGTCAAAGTCTCTGTGTAACACTTTCTCGTAGACACTCTGCAGACCCACTGTCTTGGGCAGCTGGGCCTGGTAGTAGTTGTCCCTGCGAAGGGGGTCCCTGGGCAAGGAGGTGCTTTTGCAGAAGGTGGATAGCTGAGCTGAGGGATGAGGAGATGAGTGAGGGTTGGATCGGCCACAGGATGGGCTCCAGCAGCGGTCCGAATGGCCCAGGATTTTACATTCAGCAGTACAAGCCCATAATCCTAAAAATACAAACAAAAACTTTAGACCTGTAATCGCTGGAGAAACAGCCACATAATTCTGAGCTCATCAGAGAGTTATTGCCCAGATCATCAAAAGCTAAGATGGGGATGGGGGAGGTGGAGGAACAATACTTCAGGACACTGCTGCAAAGCACACTCTGCAAGCTATCATTATTCCATTTAGCTAGCAAGCCCTAACTCACAATGTATGTCAGCAGGAAGAGCTTTTTGAAAATGAATTTTATAATAGGCTAGCTGCTTCTAATTTGCACTATGTTCTCGACATGCACGTAGATACTTAAGTTGCATGCTGTGAAAATGCTGGCAGGACTACTCCTGCAGTGAGCGCTGCCTTGGAAAGATGCAAATGGTGTGACTGCTATAAAACTGGTCCAGTCAGCTCAATGTACCTTAGATAAATAGATAGATCCTTTTATTCCTGGGCCAGTTTTTATTTTCATTGCAGCCGGTCTGTGCTGTGAAATTGACCGAACCCTTACCATTCTGCATGTGAGTGATGAGATCCTTCTTCAGGGCATCCCCGCTGATGTCAGAGTCACTGTCATTAAAGTCGCTGTCGCCTTTGCCACTGTCTTTGCCACTGAACTTTTCCGCTTCTCGGGCCGATATGGTATTGAAAGAATGACCTTTCCAGATGGCCACAGGTGGGGTGGATTCTTTGCTATAATTAGGAGAAGAGGCATAGGGCTGGAGGGGATTGGGAGTGTGCGAGAAATAAGCATATGTCAACATCACAACCTTATCAAGATTCCCCTCTTACAAACCACCCCATACCTCCTTCCAGTCCCCCAAGCTAAAGCACAAACAAGTGCAGTGGGATCTTACCTCCCCGTTAGTTGCCCTAAGTCGTTTCTGACCCTCGTACAGACAGGCATTCACAGTGCTGGTCTCAGAAGAGGAGACTTCTTCAGCAGGTGGAGAAGGGGCTAGGTTGGTGAAAGAAGCTTTGCTGGGAAAGGATCGCGCTTCAAACGCATTCCCTCTGGGGCTGCTATCCTCCTGCATCCCCTTCTCTAGGTGGGAGATGTCGATCCGCTCCGTTAGGGGCCCGTTGTTCTTGATCTCGGTCTCCTTCTTGCGCTTGTTGCAGGTGGTTGCAATGGTGATGATGGCCACCAGCAGCAGGGTGCAGCTCCCAGCTAGGATGATGATGACAATCAGGGGAATGTCCCACTCCAAAGCCTTCTCCTCCCAGGAGCTTGGCTTGGCCACCTCATGGCTGCTGGAGGGTGCCGTGGCAGTCACCAGGAAGTTGATTGTGGCTGTGGTGACAAGGGGGGGCCTGCCATTGTCAGTCACGCTGAGGATGACTTTGAACACCTGTCCCAGCTCTTCAGACAGGTCCCCCCTGAGCACGATCTCACCTGTCTTCTTGTTGATGGCGAAGAGCTCTGGCTGCTGCTGCGGCTCCTCCACGAAGGAGAAGGTGAGCTCCGCATTGACCCCATCGTCCGCGTCTCTGGCTTTGATCTGAGCCACCAGGGAATCGGGGGGTGCCTTGCTGGAGACCCCAATCTCCATGGAGCCGTTGATGAGCACGGGGTGGGTGATGACCGGGGCGTTGTCATTCTGGTCCACCATCCTCACTTTGATCAAGGCGCTGCTGGACAGCTGAGGGGAGCCCCCATCGCTGGCCTGGATCCTCAGGTCCAGCTGCTTGAGGATCTCATAGTTGAATGTCCTGAGGGCGTAGATGGCCCCAGTGGCCGGATCCACAGAGACGTAGGTGGAGATGGGGGCGCCCAGGA